CTGTCTGACTTTTCCCCCTCTGTTATAAAACAATTCCATTGTTCTTTTACCTTTCAAAGGATTGTATGGTTCACAATTTCAACAAAAATAAAGTTAACCTGCACAGAGACCAGATTTACTGCCTGACTGCACAGTAACAGCTCATTGTGTCAATTAACCTGCTGAGTGGACAAACTGATCCAAATGATTGGCTGATATCTTTTCCCAATCACTAATCATGAGGTCATCTCACAGGACGTTCAATCAGGAAGCAGGAAAAAGAAAGAAAAATCTGTTTGTCATATAGAGAAAAAAGCTTACATTTGAGCAGTGTAGATCACAGAACTATTTATATTTTTAAGGCCTATTGCTTTATGTAGTTTTTATCTTATGCATGACACTAAAACATAAAATATGAAAAAGGTTTACTATTTTTTGTAATCACATGGGCTTTTTAGAATGCAATGTCAACTTTATGTCTACAGTTTAAACATTTCCAGAATTCATGAATGTTACTTATCTCTGTCAACTTTGCACTGCCATATTACTAAAGCATATAACAGCAGTAGCAAAGTCCTGCGTGAGTTTGCACTTGTAAGGACAAGCTGGTGTTCTCGCCCCTGGAAAAAAAGAATCTTCTTTCAAAGAAACTGCACTTTCTATGAAATAAGGTAAAATTAGTTTCACTCAAACTTTCCTTTAAAAAGTCCACTCATGGATACTTTAGGACTGGAACTTACAGAGTAATTCTGAATGACCTGCACATCTCATTCATGGCATTGTTTAACGAGTTTTGGTATATCGGCTACAGTTGTATTGTGCTCTGCATGTGAGTAAGTTACATTGATATGTTGATACTGTCATTTTGATACTTATTATCTATCCTAACCGTGATTTCCTTGATTACTGTGAAGCACATTGCAGGATTATTTGTTAAAAATGCATTTTGATACAAAACCTTATTTTCTGTAACCAAACATTATTGTTACTTTTAGAATCAAAATGCGCTTGACCTGGATCTGGATTAGTTTCTGCTGGATGTGTCCAAATGTTGTCTATGCTGGGAAAGTGCTTGTTTTCCCAGTTGATGGCAGCCACTGGGTGAATATGAAAGTCATTGTTGAAGAACTGCATTCAAGAGGCCACCAGGTTTGTGTGGTGCGACAGACAGACAGCTGGTACATCAAGGAAACCTCCCCATATTATACGTCAATTACAGTTGACGTTGAGTCTGGATTTGATGAAAACACTATAGCTTTGTTTGTAGGCCAACTGCTGAAAATCCAGCGGGAGGGGAAATCTGCCTGGATGCGTTTAAAGCTGGAAATGGAACAATCACAAAAAGTCTCAGAGTTCCATGTCAAATCGAGCAAAATCATCAAGACAATTCTCGAGTCCAAGGAGCTAATACAGTCAATAAAGGACGCCAAATATGACCTTATTCTGACAGATCCTGCGATACCGGTGGGTGCCATGGTTGCCCACTACCTCAGGTTGCCTCTTGTTTTTAATGTCAGATGGACCAGTGAAGGTGAGGGCCACTTTTCAGTCGCACCTTCTCCTCTGTCATATGTTCCACTGACAGGAACGGAACTATCCGATAAAATGACTTTCACAGAGAGAGTTTTAAATGTTATCATATTTTGCTTCAACAAATATCTGATATCCCAGTACATCTTACCATATTATTCAGACTTACTTGAGAAATACTTTGGTCCAGATGCAGATTACAGTTCCATGTTTCAAAGCGCAGATCTGTGGCTCATGAGAGTGGACTTTGTGTTTGAGTTCCCCCGTCCCACCATGCCTAATATCGTGTATATGGGAGGATTCCAATGTAAGCCTGCCAAGCCACTTCCTGAGCATTTGGAGCAGTTTGTTCAGAGCTCTGGGGAGCATGGAGTGGTCATCATGTCTCTGGGGACTCTGATTGGAGATCTTCCCCATGACTTAGCTGATGGGATTGCTGCAGCATTTGCACGACTCCCCCAGAAAGTCATCTGGAGATATAAAGGTGTCAAACCACGTACTCTAGGAAACAACACCTTATTGACTGACTGGATGCCACAGAATGACCTTTTAGGGCATCCAAAGATAAAACTATTTGTGGCTCACGGTGGCACAAATGGAGTCCAGGAGGCCATTTATCATGGTGTTCCCATATTAGGGCTTCCATTGATTTTTGACCAACGTGATAACCTGTTAAGAATTGAGGCAAGAGGAGCTGGTAAGAATATTGACATTTTTAGTATGAATGAGGACATATTCCTGCAGGGTATTAAGGAAGTCCTGAATGAGGCCTCCTACAGGGTGAACATGCAGAGACTCTCCAGGCTACACAGAGATCAGCCAGTCAAGCCGTTAGATAGCGCCCTCTTCTGGTTAGAGTATGTTATGAGACATAAAGGTGCCTCTCACCTGAGAACGGAGTCCTACAAGCTGCCATGGTATTCCTACCACTCTGTAGATGTGATGCTCTTCTTAGCTGGATTTGCCCTGGTTATTGTGGTTGCTTGTGCTGTCTTAATGAAATGTCTCTGCTCTGTATGTTTAAAGAAAAAGTGGAAATGTGACTAAAAGTGACCCAAGAATATATATTTTTTTTATCAAAATAGAAAGCACACATAGGTCTGACTGTATTTGACTGTGTATATTTGAAAAGTAGGCACATTTATCTAATATGCTCTGGCTTTATGTCCACTTCTGATTGCTATACAAACAATTTCATGACATTTTAACATTAACTTCTGAGTGAGGGATAAAATAGTGCTGCTTTAAATGACCAAATTGAAAGACTTTGTCACACGTGTGGTTTTGTGATTCAGCTAATCTTTAAGACTTTCAGAGCATATTCATATTCTTTGAGAGAAGTCAGCAAGGTGGTTTCATGTTGCTAAATGAAAACCAGTTTGTAATGAATGGGGTACAATGGCCTGAAGATTCACTAACCCTGTTAAAGCCAAATGGTTTACAAGTATTTGAATTTATAATTTTCCTAATATAACACTTAAAACTCATTTTGGTGTTTCAGAGTATCTGTTGAAATGCTATCATGAAAGAAAAACATCTGACTGTGGTTTAGGAAACATGTACATGTAAAGATGATTTTCATAAATCAGCTTATAATGATGCTGTAACTTCCTCAGGCTACAGATGGCTTGTTGCTACTGAAACATCTGATCACATCGGATGGAGAAAAAGTAGAAGAATCAATGACCTACACTTTATTATTTGATCATGTTTTTTATTTGATAATTATTTTATTCATTATATGAAAAGTCAGAAATATAAAAACTTTTTACAATATACTGTTTAAGAATATACTCACATTACAGAAATACTTAGATTTAAACTTTATTGTTATTTGTTATGCATATTTCGTACCCGGAGCCTCTTTGGAATCAAATATATCTTTGGATGGACACAACATTTGCTAGTTTAACTGTAAAAGTCACATAAAGTGAAATATTAGCCACTCAAAGAAAGAATCATTCATTATGAATAATAAGAGAGCAAATAATTCAAGATGTAAGTTAATCACAGTTGTGGGTCCATATTTATTTTCCAAATATTTTGATACCCTAACTGTGAAGAAAAAATGACACAGAAAGAAAAATAAATAAAAATATTAGGAAATTGGAAGTATTGGCTAAGCTCTGATAGGGGAGGGACATAGCCTACAGAAGCCTGCACCAGTTTCAACACTGTAGAATTAACTTGGTCAATGTATCAAGTTATGTGCCATTCTTTTTATGATTGTGAAACTAACATGTTTAAGTGTATAAAACTTCAGAGGATTTTACTCAAATAAATAAATGATTTTATTACAAAGTTTTTTTTAAAACATATACATTTACTGTTTAATGTTGTGAAAAAAACAAACTGCAATGGTTTCACTTTTCACCCTGTCAAACGTGTAAAATGATTTTTTAAAGAATACATCCAAACAAATTATTTGTCCTTATTTTGGGAGGGACTTGCCATAACACCATGATTTCTAGGACATAAGAAGCCCAGGAGTTGAAACAGAGATTTCCCCTCTTGGGCAGACAACATGTCAACTGAGATTAGTCAAGTCAATATTAGCTGCCTGGTGGATTCCAGTTTAGTAAATCTAGCTAAAACAGAGGGCACATGGAATTAAATGACTTTTTCAAAGTTAACATAGAAAAGAAAAGGGCAGAAATCCTGTCTGACACTTCAAAGATGTGATAAATAAAAAGATCGCTTTCCGTAAACAGACATTTTAGAATAACGGCTTATTTGCCTTCCTGTTGAAGCTTGATGAGAAAATTCCATCTCCATATCTTTAAAGTAAATGTGAACTCAGGGTGAGCAAAAGGTTGGTTTAGCTCATGATAGAGATGAAAATTGAAAGGAAACATATGATTCATGGTTATACGTGAGTTGTTTGCTTAACTGTGTCCTGCAGGAACTCCTTGGACTATCAGCATTATGAGGATGTAATCTGATTAAACAGATGATATGGTATATTGTTCATATCACAAAGATGATTACTGGACAGACATTCATGAGATATGAGCTTCTAAATTAATTTCCTGTAATAATTGTAAAAGAAAATCCATAAATGACAAACCACACATTAAATAACTACTAAGTAATTGTATCAGATGAAAATATGCACAATGGTAGAGAGTCATAGGCTAATTTCAATAATATCTATTTCAATGCAGTCCGACAGAGTGGCTTTAGTGACCAGTCACTCTTGCAATACCCACCAACTACTGTCTACCTCCATGGACATTTTCTGATTCACCCTGGCAGGCACAGCACTGCCTATAGTGGTACATATGTCACACCGTGTACAATTCTGCTCTACAGATTATCCGTCTATCCATTTATGAAGAGGCAACTGTATGTGTAATTTTATCTAGTGGGGAAACCGTAGAAAAGTCCGTTATAAAATGTTCCAGTTATAAAACGTCACAGTGCGGTCTCTTCATGTTGTTTACAAAATGTCCATTCCAGCAGAGCAGGTGTGATGGGCGGTGTGTGTCCTCTCATGAAGTCCGGGTGCGTAAAGAGCTCATCCTGAGCACCGTGAGCTCAGCTACATCTGCATCTTGCATCTCCACGTCTTGATGGCAACTTTCTCTGATTACATACACTATGAGGCCCATACAGATGAATATGAGGAGGACTATGCCTATAACCTGGCCAAAAGAAGAGTTCAAGTTTGTCAATACCGATATAAGACATTTTCAATTAGGAATGTGCATTGGCAGAGTTTTAGGAAGAGCCCCTAACATTTAATGAAGGAGATGCGATATCCATGCCAAGGCATGAGGGGGAGGTGTTTGTACACCATTGCGCCTACACGGTATTTAACAAAAGAGAAAATATTTAACTCACCTGAGAAAAGACAAACAGCTGCTGCGAGCGAAGCATTAGTTCTTGTGGGGTGACAGTTCCCTCACTAATTGGCTCACACCACTTCTGTGGAGCTGCCTTGTCAACAAGCACAAATCTGCCCTCCCAGTCTGTCATAGCACAGGCTAAGTATTGGCCATCGAGGAACAACAAGATGAGCCACACGATAGCGGGGACAAAACTGGAGAGGGAAACAGTTTTCCTGCACCATGCATCACATCTGCATCCTTGAATGATCAGCATGAGGGTGAAGGCCATGACGGCAGGAATGATGAAGAATGCTGATGAAAACGCTCCATTCCACGTAGGGTTGCAAGGACACTCAAACTCCAGCTCCACAAGTTTCTCTAGTCCCATCAGGATAAAGCCAAAAGCCACATTTGACACCAGAGGACTGTTGCTAAGTTCATTTTTCAGCCTGGTAAGCCATTGTTGTCTACTATCCATACTAGATTGACTGAAGAATGAAGACAATCGTTGCAAAAAGCCCAAAAGAGGGTCCACCGTTTTGTGAACACATTGGCAACAGCTAAGTGATGCGTAATGAATGCATCCAGGGGTAAGTTTTCCCCTCGGGCAAAATGCCACACTTCCACTCTGATTGGTTTTGAACAAAGGAGGGTGTGCTGTGTGCTCTGACATTTCTCTCCCTGATTGGTCTGGGTGAGGATTCAGGTGGGGTTACATTTTAAATGTGGACTTCCATGGACAAACTAGAGGGAGGACCGTAAAGTGGAGGGAAGTTTGTTCTACTCTGGAGCACAGAATGGCCCTTTGCAACAGCCCTGCTAAAAACCCAAAACATGGCCAGAGGTGCATCTGTGTGTCAAAGGGCAGGTTTTTGCTTTATAGAACTGGGTAAAAGCCCCACATTTAGACTCATCTTAAAAAGATAAGAGAATTCCACTTTAAAATCCACATCTATGTGAATTTTTTTTCACATTAAATTACAAATAGTTATATTGAAAAGGTATTCTGGCCTATTTGATGCCACTGTGTGTCACTAACAGAATGGAAACTTGTCAGTTTCACAGAGCTGCCCACATGAGGTCGCCCGTGCTGCAGCACAGATCTGGAACGGAGAAGGATTACAGGAGGCCATGTTGAACTTTCTGGGGATGTGACATACGCAGCTTGAGAGCACCCAGGCCACTGATGTGATGACATAATTCATAAATGACCTCAGCGAGCTCAAGATCATCCCCACAGTTTTAACACTTAAAAAAAAAAAACAACAAGGCAGAGTGGAGCAGAGCAGAGAGACGCGACTCACGACTGGTTGCATTTCAGATTTCTGAACAACCTTTAATCATATCATTTTTTAGATGCAACCACTAAACCTGTGGTTTCTAACCTACTCTGGATAGTCTGACTTTTCTGGTTTTGATTCTGGGGAGGAGTGACATACAGCGTTTGTAGTCACGATGCCACAGTAATGAAATTACACTTGACCCACAGTCGTGTCGGACCCTCATCCAAAATAAAATGGATGATAGACAAAAAATAATAATGCACCTTTCATCTAATACAAGTAGCGGAAGGTAGAAATGCAAACGGACAGAGGCACATAACTGCCCGGGTCCACAAACATCATCCATACAATATTCCCGTGTCTGCGCGTGTGTTCATCCACGCTCAAGAGCGCACTGGGCACGCGCGGCACGTCGTTGCTGCCGTTGGTGTCCTACCAGCATCTGTTCCTCCTATGCTATTAAAAATAGACCTGTGCTGACAACAGACTTATGTTTCGGCTACATCCCTCGCCATCGGGAATCGTTTGTGCGCTACTTTCATTTTTAATCACCGAACCGTGACCGCGGAGGCGCAAATGCGCATCAGTCTGCGCATCTTTGAATCTTTGGAATCTCACTGTGGACAATCTCCCTGACATCCAAAGATCTCTCCTCCGCAATCCGACGAGGCTTCTTCGCCGCCTATGGCCGCAAATCGGCTTCCCTGAGCCGCTGGCCTCGTCCCGGACTTTTCACCCTCCGCTGCCTACAGAAAAGAAATATTTTACAAACTGGAAGTCAGTCCTGCAGGTTTTTTTTTTTTAATCATCCTCGGCTGTTTTTAAACAACCCGGTGCTATGCTGGGCCCGTCTCTCTAGATCTTGTGATCAATAGTCGACACGATCTCTCCTCCCACATTCGTCCGACCGAGACCCCGGTACTCGTATCGAGCCCAGACGATGCATCCTTACGCGGTGATGCTGGCACTGGTCCTCCTGGGGAACTTGATGCTGCCTTTCATCTCGGCACAAAACGGTAAGGAGGACAGATGTGACCTCGGCGTACGTGAGCGCATTCCACTGAAGGGGAAAGTGACTTGACTTCTGTGTAGATTTGGAAAACGACTGCGTTAGGACTGCACTTTCATCCTACCTGTCTCTACCACCAGGCCAGAGTTAGCAAACTGGATCCCAACAAGGGCAGCAGCGTGTAACAGGAAGGGGGAAACAAACGGGGAAAAATAGTCCATTTGTCTTAATTGGTGATTAACTACTGGAGAGCTGTAGGCGTGTCTGCTAGACCAGTTAACTGTCACATCCCAGCCAAGTTGGATATGTAGAGATGCAGAACTTTCAGCTGGGGTCAACTATCAAGTTTTGTACCTGCATATATTTGTGTGTAACGTTTACAGAGTTGACAGCACTGACCACTTGAAGCATTGGCCTATAGGTAGCAGATGGATAGCAAGAGCATGTCAGGCAGGACTGACCAGGTGTGGATAAAATAGGCAAGTAAAGGTTAAAGACTGACCTAACCACCCTGCTATTTTGGCAAGCTTTCAGGGGGCCTTTTTTCCCCCACATGCACTGTTCTTGTCTACAGCTCTTGCAACTAAATCCGTACACATATAGCCCATCACATTCATTATCTTACCTCAAAGCACCAGAGGTTTGTTGCTCCTCAATGATCGGAAAATAAAACAAAGTGAAATGAAATGTTCGGTTGCTTGAGATTCGGGGATGCAAACTGCGTGTATTTTTGAATGTCAGAGGTTCACGGTCTGCGATAGAAAGTGGCAGGTTCTGGTTTTAGGAAATGTCAGCAACATGCAGCCGGGTGTTCCAGGCTGTCCTCCAGCATGGCCTTCCATCAGATTGTGTTGAATCACATCAGCCGCTGGGCCGGCCACACAATCAGCAGCCATTTTCATGGTTTCAGTTGTTTAAAGTATCTCTTGAGTTGATACTTGTGGTGCATCTGAAATGTGAGTGTTATGAGGGGTTTTTTTTGCAGCTGTTAATGATCGCCCATCTTTAAAAGAGCTGCTCTGCCTACATGTCGAGGCCCACGTGTTGACAAGAAAGTGTCACTGACTCAGTCTAATCCTCTCTCGCAGAAAAAACAAGGCTGAGAATTAACTCTACATACTTCATAATTTCAGTGATTTATGCCCACATTGTTGTTATTGAGTGGGATAAGTGGTAACCCACCGCGCAAGACTTAATAAGATATGTGTTTTGATGATAGGGTTGAAAGGGTTGTGTGAAATCTCACTCCAGCACGTTGTGAGGATTTAGTTTTTCTCGCCCCATGTCAGTCTAATCAACGTAACCACTGCAACATTGTGCTGGTTTGATCTGCATCTGGAGGAGCTGGATATGCAGAAACGAGGTAACAACTGAAATCATTTCCCTAGAAAAATGTTTTTTTAAAAGACCAACTCTTCATCTCCAGCCGGTGAGGAGACAAACAAACTGAAAATCCACAGCTGTTACATAACAGCACATTATCACTTGAAGTCCTTTCTGCCGCTCTTGTTAATTTCCCTGAACTTCTCAAAGTGTGCGAGTGCATAGTGAGGCGCTCTCTCATCTTGCTATCTGGAAAATTAAATACTCAATAAGCCGTCTTTTGTTTGACAAAGCTCAAGCAAAGGCATTCCAAACACTTCCTGTGGTCTTTGCTCCATGTTGGTGCCCACTCACTGTGGCACAGTTCACACCATAGACCCACAGACATGCACACACACAGACACCGTGTGGTCAGTGAGAGGCAGGCTGGTGCCCATTGAGTAAAAAATAAATAAATCTGTCAGTGTTTCATCTTTGTTATGGAATGATAAACTTAAGTCAGTATGCTTATTTATAGGCATGTTTGAAAAGAGAACGGTGAAGTCACAGTTCATTTTCATCATGAAAAGGACATTTTGACACATCTTCTCTTGACATGCCAAAGTCATTTCATTTCTCTCACAGTTCAGACTAAGGGTAATCGGTGCATGGCTTCTTATGCAATGCTAGATTTTCCTCTGATTTGACAGGGCTCAGGCAGTGATGTGGGGACAGTAATAATTATAAGTGCATGAGATTTAATCACTGTGTCTGGGAAGCAGAGGGAAATCGTGTCATTACTTCATGGTGTCGAGGAAAAGTAGGTCTACTGTCGCAGGCCAGGTTTGCGCGACAGATATTTGGAAGACTGTGAATTGCATCCGTCCGATCTGCAGCGTTTCTATTTTTACCCCCGAGACGAAGCACAGAGAACTGTGGCTTTAAGGTCCTTTTGTGAAAGTGAATCCATTAACTCTTAATGGACGGCTTCCTTGTGCACAGCTGCACAGCCCTCTGAAGACTCATTGGAACTATTTAAGAGGAGATATGGTGCAATCTTATTGCAAAGCAAATAATGGCTGTTGAGAAAGCATCTGTGACTGACCACAGGTCTTACATAATATCCCCCAACGAAACACCGAAGCGCTCTGCTATCTTCTGGATTGTCACTGCTCATTAATTAGAATATACAAGTTGCATTATAGAAAAATAAGGTGACTGTTCAGGCAGTGGTTGCCTTTTTGTTTTTGCAATTGAGCTCAAATTGATCAAAAAAGCTTCAGTACAAATGTCATTGACACTGATAAAGAAAAAAACTATTTTTTCAGCTGACAGGCTCCAATTGTTAGTTTGAAGGTGTGACATGATAGGATACCAGAAAAGATGGACCTTCTAGTTTCTAACATTTTGAAATTATTTAAAGGAAGTAGGGGGGTGTGAAGCACTTATTGAATGCCAGTCTCTGACCAACAATGGTCAGAGCACTCTTGATTGGAGCATCATGAAGGAGCTTCTCGGAATAGGGCCTCTGAAGAATGTTTCTTCTCCTATTTCATACTTTTATACTGTGTCACTTTGGAATCAAACGTGTGTTTATTTTGTCATAATTTTCTCACTGAGGAGTCAGTTGTTGGGTAGTTTACTTCTTGCTTTATGGAGTATTTCTACTTTTCCAGCCTGAATCAGACTCACTGAGTTGTGGTTAGCTTTTCGGGAAGAAACCAGTAGAGCTTGGAGCCAGTGGTTGGGATATATTGAAAGATATTTCAGGCAGTTGTTCTGCATGTAATGATATGGCAATCTGCTGACCGTACAGGAACAGCTATTAACTATGTTGACATCAAATATTTGTTTGTGGCTGTGTTGCTTTTGTTTTAGATGGTAGATATTCACTCTTCTGCTATTGTATCC